CCGTGGAGCCGCGGTGGGGGGGGGGGGCGCTATATCTGGGTGCCCAACTTATTCTGAAGGGGGCTTCCATATTCTGATAAATCCTCCCCCCGCAGACCCCCACATCCTGTTTACAAACATCAGACTGGCGTCTGGGTGGGTGAACTGGCCAAATATAACCCTAAACCAAATCTCACCCAGAATCCTGACTAAATACTGGGACAGGGGTGGGCAACTCTGGCCCTCCAGCTGTGCTTTAACTACAAATCCCAACATGCCTGTAATTGTCAGTCTTGCAATGCCTCATGGAACTTGTAGTTCCACAACAGCTGCAGGGTTGAGTTGCACACCACTGCACTAGGAGGTGGATTTACTTTGTAAAGTGAATGCTCACTTAGCCTAGTAAATAAGGTGAAGCTGTAATAATTTTTTTTTTTTTATTCTTTATTTGTACACGCATATGAACACAGTACAGACATGTGAAACATCAGGGGCTCATGTCCTGTCTAAAGCAACCATATATATAAGTCCACTTTATGAGCCATAGAGCCACGCCTGGCCTGGCCATGCCCTACCGTCCATGCATATCACGGTGAAATCAGTAATCTGCACTAGAGCTCAATATGCATTTTCACTTTTTTATCTTAAGTGATCCTAAATTTAACTAAGAAATAACAGAGACTATCCCTCAACTCGAGCGGATAGTTCCATGTCAGCTCAGATAGAGAAAAAGAATAGATGCAGAAGGAAAGAGAGAGGAGGAAAACAAGAAGACATGGCAAGACAACATCAGGGGGGTGTGGTAGACAATAGGTCCCAGTTACCGGGCGCAGCTTCCTAGCAGTTTAGAGAATTTATCCCACCTGACCATGTTGGCACCCCTAATGGGGAGCCTACTGCCGAAGCACTATTCCGGAGTGACCTGAGGGAACTCAGCCTAGCCCCGAAACTGATACCAGACAGCCCAAGTGCAAACAAACTTATGCTGGGTTTTATGTTTTGCGGATGTCAAATCCTCCATCAGTTTGATCTCCTCCACTCTCCGCACCCACATCTCCACCAAGGGTGCTCGAGATTGTCTCCATAATGCTGGAATGCACACCCTCGCCGCGTTTGTATGCTTTTCTCGATAGTGGTGTCAGGTGGAGGATATACACCAAAGGAGTGAATGACAGTCTCAGGCCTGTGATCTTTTGGGCTAGAGTGGCCACTTGAGACCAAAAGGGTACAACTTTAGGACAGTCCCAGAAGACGTGCAATAGGGAACCTGCCTCCTCCTCACATCGCCAACATGTATCTGGTACAGATGAATACATCTCATGTAAGGCTTTCGGGACTCTATACCATCTGGTCATCAATTTATATCCGGCTTCCTGATATTTTGTTGACACCGACTTTTTAAGTGCAAAATGTAACATGCGGTCTATCAGGTCGTGGCTAAACTCCACTCCCAGGTCCGCGGCCCATTGCCTGACAAAGTAAGGAGGAGGGAGGTCTGGGGGACTTCGTAGGCACTCAACCAAGTGAGACAACATGTGTCTCGCAGGCTCTGCCTTCTCACACATTTTTCAAAGTCCGTTAGTCGTCTCAATGGGAGGTCCCCAGCCCGTGTCGAGCAGAGATAATGACGTACCTGTATTAATTTTTAAGGGAAATCTTTTAAATTGATTCTTACTTGCATATGATTTTGGTGGCTGCCCTTCGTTGCTAGGTTGGTAAACTTTGCTTATGTATACTTCATGTTTTGCAGCACCTTTTTTGAAGTTACAATTTTGCAAACAGCCAAAACCTTTTGGTTTAGTTTTGGATTGAGTAGGAAAGGTTTAAACCCACGTAAGGTTATTTTTGCAGTCTATGCACTGTTGAAGAGATTTTGCTTCACTTCCTTTCACAGAGATGCAACAGGAAGTTAGAAGAAATCTCCCAAAGTGAGGGGACAGTTAGTTGTCACTGGATCAGATTTCCCCTTACTTTATGCTTTGGTGACATCTCTAAAACTGTCACCAGTACAAATTGAGGGATGAATCTTTAACATGAGCATAGTAATAAAAACTCAATAGAGGATCTAATGCCTAAATACTCTATCCAAAATTTTAAAAAAATTGTTTTGTCTTTACATACACTTTAAACCACAATATGCTGAGGAGAGGTGCCAAAGAGAAAAAAATATGAAAGTTCTATACATGTCTCTGGCAGTTAAATATAAGCAGATAATATAAAAGTTTTTTTATTTTATTTTTTTTAATCGTTATTTCTAAATTAAATTAGCATTAGACATAATTATACATTTTTTTCTTGAGCTTTAGAAATATTTTTTTCTTGATTTTAGTTACTTTAAGCTCATACAGCTTTACGTCTAACAAATGTTAAAACAAACAGAGCCAACTGGTTATTTCATTTTCTATGGAATAAAAAAAAAAACGTGCCTTGGAACAATACACTGCCAGTCTGTAGCCCAAGTTATGTAGTGAAGCTGCATTTTCATAATAGGCCATTGTAGCTCACAAAATAGTCACCCAAGCATTTAAAGACCTTACATCGTAACAGCATCATGGTTAATATTCATGAGAGCTTTCGGGCTGGTTTGATTATAGCATTTATCGAAAGTGTAGAATGCAGCATTTCCACAAATAAAACAAGGTGTGTTTTGGTAAGATTTGGAAAAGAACACCCATTTTCCATCGGGGATCTGATTAGAGTTCACTTTTCATCCTTACGAGAGGCCGCAAATGTGCTCTTCTTCTACCTAAACAGATAATAAGCACTCGCCCCACTACCCCTTCTTGACTCAACACACTGAGACTAATCGCAGATAATTGAGGAGGAGGAGCTGAGGGTCGGGTGAGCTTTTGTGTCCACAGGACAAATGGTCAGTTCATGAGGCTTTTGTCTGAGCCAGTCATTTCTTGTAGCTGTCCAAGAAGAAAACACACTAGCGGAAAAGGGAATTAAAAAAAAAAATCACTGCAAAACTGGAGAGTAAAATATGCTTAAAACAAAATGTTACCACCACAAAAAAAACTTGTTTGGATTATTTTTGCTGCACTTTGGCTGTACCATTCTGAGAGTTGTGCTTCTCATGAGTGTGACTGATAGCCATAATTGAAGTGATTTGGACGAAATTACCGATTTTTACACAAAATTACCCATTTCACCGCCAGCAAAATTTTCACCAAAAGGAAGCTCTCAGTTTCCCTCATGGAGCTACTAGGTGAAATTATCTATAAAAAAAAATAAACAAAAAAAAATATATATATTTGTTTCCCTTTATTTTTTTTCTTTTGGGGTGTCTATTCAGGGTACTTAAAGTGACATTAAAGGATACATTCCCCCCCCCCCCCAAATGTTAGTGTAAGGACTTAACTTAAATGATGCCTCTTGATCCGATCATCTTCTTCTTTCCTGTAGTTTTCAGCCTTCTTTCCAGCGCTGGTGCCAGCCTCTGATCCAGCCCTGACTGCTCTGTGTTAGCTGGCACTTCCTGTCCCATGGTGTCTGTGCTGGTGCACGCTGCTGCTGCATATGCTTACCTTGTGTCTCCCCTTGACTCCCGGCCAAAGATCTGAACTGCGCATGGGCCCGCCCCAAAATCCTTTGCAGCCGCCCGAGAATCTTCAAATGTTTGGATGGGAGCGCTCAGCGAAGACACAGGTAAGTTTAAACCCTTTTTAGGAGTTTTTTTCTAATGTTTTTGCATATATCTACTGCTTGCTAGCAGTAGATATATACAAAAACCGCTGAGGGTTTAATAGCCTTTTAAGTTTATTGCATCTAGTGTTTTTTTTAAAATTTGTTTGTAATCAATATTTGCTTGAACATGTGTTTTTTTTTTCTTTTTTACTGTGCTTTTGTTTTCTTTCTTTGAAAAATAAATAAACAATATAGGTCCATTTCTTGTCACCTGAACAGGTTCAAGACAGTTGAATATCTTTTGTAACATTTAAGAACCACTCAGAGAGACCATTGCATCCAAAAATACCCTCAAAATCCACCTTAGTTTAATCTTCTCTGTTGACTCCAATGCATTTGACCCAAAATCTCTAAATTTTTGTTGAAGTTTAGAGGAAATGAAAACTCTCAATTTCAATCATCTCAAGTGACTGATCTGAGCACCAGTAACAAAGAATATTGGAGTTTGGCAATTAACATGTGCACACACATCTGAAAATAGTGTAAATAGATCTGTTTTTATTCATAGTGTATTGTTAGGTGGTGAGTTACAGTAATTTTTTTTTTTTTTACAAAGAACAGAAACACACGAGTGCAGAATGAAATACAAAACATATGAACATATTAAAGTATGTTTAAACAAAGGTAGATATCAAATTAATTAATACATGGGGATCAAGGCATTGGTAGGTGACACATTGTGATAAGACATTAGGTTGATGTTATCTTGACTTAGTAAGAACAAGAAGGTGTGGATAATGGATGTTTGCATCATAATTGTCGCGATCTTCTTCCATCATCTGTAATAAAGAACAGTGAAAATAACAGTGAGGTAAAGGAAGAATTTTGTATCGTGCTATGACGTTGACTGTGTAAGAGGGTGTAGTCTCTGTGAGATCTATGGAGCTTCATTGAAAGCACACCTCATATGACTACTCAAATAACAAGTCAAAATTAGATAGTTCTGGAATACAAAAAAATTACACTATTAATGTTGATTTTCCAAGGAGCCATTAGAACTTTTTATCTAAAAATACCCAAAGACATTAGATTTTAAGCTGCTGCAAGTGATGATTGTGCCCATGGATACATTAAGTGACCCTGTCATTAAAACTAAAACAGATACACATGCAAGGATTGGATTCTTACCTTTCCAAATGCTCGCGCCACAAACATACTGCTCCATTCAAGGGAAATCTTTAACTGAAGTCTGCTGGGAATCTTACACTTCCAGGAGCGTTGATCTCCTTGGTCCTCTGCAGCACTCAGAGGTTCCTTCTCTTGACCTCCGCATCACTGCTGTATGCTGTAAAGGCATGGAGGTCAGAAGCAGGAGCCATGAGCGCTGCAAAGGACCCAGAGATATATCCTCTCAAATGTGTCAGTTTCCCAGTGGTCTTTATCAGAGGATCTCTCTTGAAAAGGTGGCATTCTTGTGGCGTGGACAGTGGGAAGTAATTATTCAGTATCTAGTTCAAATGTTAAACTTTTTGGTCAGTCTCTGATTTGCATAAGCATATTTTCTCATCAATATGCATGTTCTGCAGTCATGCCAGCCACCTAATTGGTGGATTCAAAGCTGTGATTTGCATTATGGTTGTGACTAACCCACCCAAGACCCCTGTTTCTCCTGGGAAGTCCTGTAAGTTTGTTAGGGGAGAGAAGCAGCTTCTCTCTTTAGTAATAAATCCCAGTGATTTAGTAGATCTAATTGACTAAATCATTGGGATTTATTACTAAAGGCAAATAGGCTGTTCACATTGCAAGCACATTTCCACTCTGCAAGGGAATTTTCCCTTTGTTTAGTGAATGTGGTAAAAATTAAGAAAACCCAGTCACGTGCAAAGACAATAAGGAAACCATATTTTTGTTTGCACGTGACTGGATAATCATAGTCAGCAGAGATTCAACTCATTCCCTATATTTGAGGAAAATTATCTTGCAAAGTGAACAGGCTATTTGTCTATAGTAAATGAACCCCATTGCACATAAAAAAACTTGTTTTTAGTAAAATACTGTTTTCACCTTTTTTCATCCTTTGTTACATCTCAATGCTTATGATCTCCTGCAGCCACTATGTGTCAATCCAGTAATGGCTGCATGCATTACTCAGGGACAGTTTCCTGACGATGACAACAGTGGTCCATGACTGTGCAATGTGCGTCAACACAGCCCACTTGTTTTCTCCATTGGGAAAGTGAGTGCCAAGGTGACCACGCAGGACCATAATTGGGAGGCAGGGACACAATGTTGCCACCACTATAACAGGAAGAGCCTGGATAGGATATTCATGGCAGGATCACCAGGTATTATTTTAATGAAAGCTGCAGATTTAAAGGGATTGAAATGGGTTTAAACAAATATAATTTAGGACTAACTTTACTAAAAACTGGTATTTTGGCTTTGCATGTTTACTGTCAAGTTGAAGCATGTGTTAGCTTACCTATATCACTTAAGGAACCCCAGGGGTGAGCTGTCTCCACCAGAATTCCCAGCTATGGCGAACAACCATGACCACTAAAAAGCCAAATGATGATGTAGTTTGATTGATACCTTTATAATTGCCTCCTGGGAGGGGCTGGAGATATAAACCTGGTGAAAGCTTACCACTGGAGTCTTAGAAATCAACTCATTAGTAGTGATGGGCTTAGGCGTGTTCGCAGCTCCACCTACCGAGCCCGCCAGGAAGCTGGCAGCGCCAATCACAGGCACTGAGACATTTCCCGATCTCTGCAGCTTCGGACCGGGAACATGCCTCAGTACCTGTGATTGGTGCTGCACGCTGTCAGCTTCCTGGCGGGCTCGGCACGTGGAGCTGCGAACACGCCCGAGCCGATCACTACTCATTAGTGCCCAGCCGAAAACAAACAGCTAAGGAGAACATTCCTAACACAATTATGTAAGTACAATGTACACAAGGCACTTAATAGAGGATTTTTCTTTTTTATATTATTGATTAAAGAAACTTGCAATACATTTTAGTTTGGTTTTAAAGTGGTTTGAAACGCAGAATTCATTTCATCTTGTTAGTAAATTTTAAGCAGTCGAGTCCTTTAGAGTTTAAACCATCCTTGAACCTAAAAATAAAACCTAAATATATTTCAGCTTACCAGCCCTTAGATATGGTGACTGCACTAGTTTTCCTTTTTCCAGGCTAAAACATTTTCAGCAAGTATACAAAATACCTGCTGATCTTGCCAGAAATGCTGTGCCCTTGTCACTTACTGTATGCTGAAAAGAACGTACAAAGACCCTTATCTTTTAGTGTAAACTACTAGTGCCCTCAATTCACCATGTAATGGAGATGAACAAAAACAGACATACTGGAAGTCCAGCCATGTGACAACCTTGATTTAGTCAAATGATACAGTGGTGAACTCACACAATGGGACAGGAAGTGTGTTATTTGCCTGATTACCAGGTGAAAAAAAACCCCAAAAAATAAACACAGCCACAACATCTAACAAATGGTTGTTTTTGGATTTCGATATAATTTGACAAACAGAATTGGCCATCCTTTGTGCTGAACACTAAATTCTCAAATTGCCAGTTTTCTTTCATTTTCTAAAGGATTACTCTACACAAAACCTACTTCCGAAAGTCTGGTATTTGTTGGACAGATACCCACGTACCAGTTATCGCTTATATCTCTTGGAAACATTGGTAGTGAGATCTTTGTGCTTTTCCTTCGGTGGGATGTGTACAAAGATCTCTCCTTGTCGTATTTTTTAAAACTATTTTATATTACAGAAAAAAACGAAATAAAAACAAAGTGATTGGAAACAACCACAACTCCAAGATAGACAGGAGGAGAGCCAGGAACAGATTTTGTCTTAGCCCACCAGATTCAACCTACAACTAAAATTTGTCTTTTGGGTGGACTACCTCTTTATTGTATTCTTCAACACATGCCTGAAGTACAAAACCCTTTCCTTGTTTCCTAGAGAGAAAGGGGAAGATCCTAAATATCTCAAAAGCATATATTTTTTATAATGCTGCTGACTATGGTCACCTGATACTAATTCACCAGATAATCCATTGTATTTTTTTTTTTTTGCATATGGTAGGGACTGGTTAAAACCCTGGATTTTAATTGCTGTCTGTGTTCTATTGGGGAGCTTTTCATTCACTTCCTGTCCCAAATACAAAACAAGAAGTGAAAGGAAATCGATCCAAACTGAGGGGAAATTAATTCTTAGAAAGCTGTTACTGGAACACTCAGTCTGGAAACAAAATGTATGCCTTAACACCTTATCCGCAGTGTGGTAACATGTATTTTAAATGGCACCCAACACAACTTGCAAACACAGCTCAACACAAATGTATTTCAGGGCACCAGGGGAACCATCTGCATGTTGTGGTGTGCTACACTGAAACAAGAGGTTCCTGTCTGATTCTCTGTACATTGTGGTAGGTTGGCAACCCATTTAAGCTCATTCAAGGTCCTAACACTTCCCTAAGCAATCCAAAGCTGTAAGAATCTTTAAATGTTGACTTCCCTTGCACAAGAATGGGGAGTAATTCCTATATGTGGGTGGGCTGAAATTTTACTGCTTAAAATAAATCTATACAGCCTTTATGTCAACTGTACCTCCACTGTTTGGGGAAAAAATATTTCTTATATAAACAGCATATAAAGGCCACACCCCAAAAAAACAATAAACTAGTTAAATAATCAATCCATTACACAATATGAAAATGTAGGTGACTTGAATGAATTAGCATTCTGTACATTAAACACTATGTCAGTGTCATAAACCTGCTTGTATAATGGTCAGTGATTAAACACCGCAATGGGTTTTATGGCTGGAGACTGGAGATAAGTCATGTGACCTTGCCAGGCATAATACAAAACTACAGGTGATCTAATTGCATTATAGTAGCTTTTAATGCATCTACTCCTAGCACACATGGGCTTAGCAGAGCTTTCTATGAGTCTGCAATATAAAAATAAATACAAAATAAAAAAAAGCTACAATACAAAAAAAGCACACATATGTATATATTTAATCATATTAATATTTATTCCACATAAGATGAACAATCCTTAAAGCATTTATAAATTAAAAACCAATCTAAATGGATCTACATTTAATTCGTGATAGAGTTTTTACAATTAAAAGATTAATGAAAAGATACAAAACAAAAATATAAAAATAAAAACCTATAACCAAAGTGATAACTGCATAATAAAACAGTTAATTACGATAGCGAGTTAAATAATTTCTATAGCTGACACAATAACAACATGGATTAGAGAACTGTTAATGTTTAAGTTTATATTCATTAAAGTGAATAATTTATAAGTAAAACACAAATAATTTGGATAATGGTTTAAATGTTGCACCTTGGCACAAAATATATTTTGTTTACATGTCAAACAAATAGCCCTTTCCACAGAAGAAAAATACATTTTCCTCAATTAAACTAGTTTCATTGTTTCAGATCAGTGGAACGGAAAAATAACACAAAAAAAGCACTGAAAAGAAAGTGATTTTCCAATTTAATACGCAAAATAAGGTCGACGACGACCAAAGGAGGCACAGTAATATAGTTGCTATTAGTAGCATTACGAGTTACAGTATAATTGGATGTAACATTTTCAACAATTATAAAAAACATTCTGCACAGATTATAAACATCGGGCACTTGGGATGGTGTGTTTAAACAGGGAAATGGAGGTGAAAAGTCATCTGTCTTTACACCATGCTATTCCCCACTCTCTTTAATAAGCTTTCTACAAGTCTTAAGACTTCTATAATACTAGCAATATTCACTGTCAACAAAAATGACAGCAAAT